CAGAAAGTGTAGGAAGAAAGAAGAAACATATTTTCGCCGACATCCTACAGTCAATAATTTAGATAAAGTAAACATTTTAAATGCCAAGGCTCGACGCACTTCAAACAGAATAAGTGTCGGTCTTGGAGGAACTATGTTTCTAAAATACATTCACGTACACCTATGTCAAAGGTGTAGAACATGGTCCAAAGAATAAAGGGTAAAGGTTACACATCTATTGTACGCCATCTGAAGGATCTATTAACTAATAAAGCTGAAATAGCAAGTAAAATTGGCGAAACTACCTTCAGTTCTTGCCAAACATTCTTCATCATCCAATTATGTCCCTGGGTTTCCAGAAACACCAGAAACAACATGAGAGGAAAAGAATCAATTTTAACTCAGACAATGGTGAAGTTTATAATGAATTATTTTCACTATATGGGCTACATACCGCCTTTGAGCAAGCTCATGACACAGCAACAGTGGCTGATGGTATCCATTATCAGCTCCTGAAGCATTTGCCTGATTCATGTCTGGAAACACTTCTAGGTTATAATTGATAAAATATGGACATCAGGGAATTTTCCACCTTCGTGGCGTAATGATACCCAAGCCTGGCCGAGATCATAGCGATCCTACAAATTACAGACCAATTACTTTAACGAGTTGTTTCTGTTAAACCATGGAACGAATGGTAAACAATAGACTAATTTGGTATTTAGAAACCAATAAACTAATTACAAATATTCAATGTGATTTCCGGAAAAATCGCTGTACTATTAATCATTTAGTACGACTGGAATTCTATCTTAAGAATGCGATTGCAACTAAACAACACATAGTATCAATTTTCTTTGATTTGGAGAAAACATACGATACCACATATGAAAACGGCATCCTCAAGGATTTACATGATTTTGGTTTAAGGAGTCGTTTACCACTTTTTATATCACAGTTTTTAACACACAGGCAATTTCAAGTCCGAGTCGGTTCAACGCCTGTCTGATCATTACAATCAGGATCAGGATGTCCCACAAGGAGGTATGTTGTCTGAAACATTATTTAGTTTTAAAATATACAGTCTTTCTAAGGTTTTAAATGGTTCAGTTGATTGATCACTTTTGTGGATGATTTTAATGTTTCTTGTCGTGGTAAAGATAAGCATACAATAGAGAGACAGTTACAACTTTATCTCAATAAAATTCATAAATGGTCAATTGAAAACGGTTTTAAATTCCTAAATCAAAACAAACTGTATAAATTTTTGCCATAAACCACATAAAGACCCAGAAATAATTTCAAATGGTACACCCATCAAAGTTGTCAAGGAGGCTAATTTCTTAGAGTTATTTTTTATTCTCATTTGACTTTTTACACACATTAAATACATCAAAATAAATGCTTGAAGGCACTTGGCTTGTTGAAAGTCGTTTCCAACTCTAAGTGGTGGGGGATCAAGCTCCCCTCCTACACCTAAATCGATCACTGGTCCGCTTGGAACTTCCTAATGGCTCCATCGTATATGGTTGAGCCTGAAAAAGTAACCTAAAACTATTAGATTCTGTCCACCACCAAGGCCTTAGACTTTGCCTTGGGTTTTTAGAACTTCTCCTGTTGACAGTCTCTACGTCGATGCCAATGACCCATCTCTCAACCAACGCTGTATTAAATTATATTTACAGTATATAACAAAACTATATTCTAACGAGTCTAACCCGGCATTTAACTGTGTTTTCAATCCTCTTTATTAGGATCTGTGCAACCAAACGTCTTCTCTTATTCCGCCCCTTGGACGGAACCTTTCCTTTCTGCTGCTGACATTGAGCTAGGAAATATACTACCCATCAAAAGTTTAGACTCACTTAAAGCACTCACTATATGTTATGTATATGTATGTGGTTACATCGAAGATGAATTTCTCCACCAACTTGGGGGAACCAACTGAAAACCTTATGCAGATGAATTGCACAAGGATGATGCTTCAAATTGCGAAAGGCATGAGCAAATGTCGTGCATGTGAACAGATGCGTTTTGGTGTAAAGTTTTGTTAAGAATTCGCCAATTTTCACAGATTTTAATCATTTACTGAACTCATGACAATAATCTTTTCAATGTTACGAATATGTTTTACAATACACCAGTTCATAACTAAACAGTACCTTTAAACAGTATGGAATATTTTGCAAAAGCTAGTTTAGAACAGTGGACAAGTAAGTGGCTACATTTACACTAGTGAGTCTAAACTTTTGATGGGTAGTATATATCTCCTCCCCGTCTTCTTTCTTCTCCTCCTTGGCTATTGGTGCTGTCAGAAGTTGACCTAACACTGGCAACATTTAAAAATCAGAAACAAAATAATTACAATATAAACAAGAATTTAATCAGTTAAAGAGTAAATATAATACATACAAATCCTTATTTACAGATGGGTCCAAGGATGGTGGCGCGGTGGCATGTGCCACTGTCATTGAATCCAGAAAAATATCGTCTTTATCAGTTACACCTACTTGGGTTGTCAGTCCAGATTTGAAGTGGTCATCATCGACGATGTCGTATTGGCCACACTAGATATACTCACGAATACCTGTTAAAATTTGAGGATCCTCCGTTCTGCATCCCTTGTTTTAATGATAATTATCATGAATTTTAAAAAGAAACAGATTTGATGCATAAAGATTGATATGTTTTGTAAATAAATCAATGTTTGGTAAATTTAAACTTACGAGGATTTCTAATCATAGTATTTTTGTGATTCTAATTTTGGCTAAAGTTTCCAACAATCGCCAGCGGCTAAAATGGATGGTGTAAATCTAAATATGGTCCATGGTCCCTAGTATGGGGATCTCCCTAGTATGGTGATCTACCTTCAGTTGTTCGCGATCTATTGCCTGTATTTATAATGTATCCTCTTCTATAGTTAAACTGGGTTTTATTTAATTACTAGTAATTAATTTATATCTGTGGTAGTATAGTTGTATTACTTTCCTTCGTTCACAGGTATTTATAATTTTCTTTTAATCATCATAAATCTATAACATTAGTCACGATATGGCTGAAGTATTACCGATGTAAATTTTAAAAGAAACAGAAGTGATACATAAAGTTTGATATGTTTTGTAAATGGATCAATGTTTTATAATTGGTAGTTAAACTTACCAGGATTTTTAAACATAGTATTTTTGTGATTTTAATTTTGGTTAAAGTTTCCTACAATCGCCAGCGGCTGAAGGGATGGTGTAAATCCAACTAGGGCCAATGCAGGTAGCAAAGGTACTGTAAGTTCCCATGGTCCCTAGTATGGTGATCTACCTTCAGTTGTTGGCGATCTATTGCCTGTTTTCATAATGTATCGTCTTTTATAGTTAAACTGTTTTTTATTTAATTACTAGTGATTCATGTATATCTGTGGTAGTCTAGTTGTTTTACTTTCCTTCGTTGTCAGGTGTTAATTATTTTCTTTTAATCATCATAAATGTATTTAGTCACGATATGGCTGAAGTATTACCAATGTGACTTAAAATCGTAACTCACTCGCTCGTTGAAATGTCGACTAATTTCTGTTACTTCAATTATTTTTCTGACTCTTTAAAACTCCGAAGTTCCATTGACCTTCACAATTATTTTCTTTTTCAAAAATTTCGATTGCCGTTTTATTGCGTCCATTAATTTCTTGCAACTTCAAGTTTCTTTTCATATTATTGTCTCGTTACTGATGCTGTCGTGGTGCCTCTCACAAAACAGTAAACTTGACCTCGTATATATCATAATATCACACAAAATCATCTCCTGGACAGGGTTGTTGTTAACGACAAGAGGCGATACAAACTGTACCTTGCCCCTCCAGAAATCTAGATCTCAATTCCATAGAGCATGTTCGGGACAGTATTGATCGCAGAACATTTATGTATTATAAAAAGGAACCCATCAAGTATGGAATCCATCAAATCCGAGTATGGAATGGAATTATTCCAACGTCAATTATCCGACGTCTGGTTTGATACAGTCACTGAGAGCAAGTTTATTTTTGTGTTTTCTTCTTGATCTACTGTGTAATTATTCGTTGAGGGTCAATTATCCAGATAACATGTTCATTTTGGTTTGATTAAGATCCTTTGTCATGTTTAATGGTATCCTATAACAGATCGAGCAAGTTTATTTCTGTGTTTTTCTTGTGTTAAGATCTACTGTGTATTATTATTCAAAGTTTGATGCTTCATGGTAGCATATTGATCCTATATAAAAATGTTGTGTTGCAATACTTTCAATGGTATATAGCATTGAAATATGATGCAACTCAGACGCTCAGGTACTTGCAAAGACAATGGTGAACATGAAACGAACTGGTTCATTTTTGCATACACTCTACAAATATGAAATATGGTTTGGCAACTCAGAAAAGCTGAAGGTACTTGCACAAGACACACCTGGCTACACGAACACCGTGATAAACGAATTCGTTGCTCGTCCATTTTTTAGAAATTACACTCTACAAATATACAAGACTTGATTAATGGACTTTTGAAAGAAGAAATCGGAAACACACCAGACTTGAAGCTGGCGCAACAAAATACACCTGGTTGTCAGTTAATGTCATTTGGTCACAGTGATGGACCTCGTTCGTTGCCAGGATGACCCTGACTCCACAGGGATTTTTCCGTTTATAGCCCCTCCAGCTGGCATGGTCAGCTCTCAATTCAGAGTTTAACCCATAGAACATGTGTGGGGTATTCTTGGAAGACCACTCTCAACAAACTTGGCAAGTCGCTGGCAAGTGGCAAGAATGGGGTGGAAAGAACTGACGTGATGGACAAGAAGGCGCTTTGCCAATCAACTGACAAAAATCTGTTTGCAAGTGTCAGTCAGATGTCCCTGTTACACTGTTAAACCATTAATTTCATTAAAGAGTATTTATATAAAGATATATATGAGACTTTCTTTAAATATCCACTTGATAATATTTCCATGGTATATAACTTCACAGCAACAATGTAATATTTTCAGCCTAAATAACAAATTAATTATTCACGTTTTTCTTTTGGTCCATGGACAATAGTTCTGTAACAGAAGCTGCACGACTTCCATAGAAGAAAAACACACACATGGAGGATGAGCAGGACAAGCCCGATGACATCCAGACACAAATACTGATACAACGGCATGTCCTGACAATACGACCTCAGATGGGCGCCGCCATATTTGAGCACATGTTCTATCCAGTAAACAGCTTCATCTTTGGGACTTCGTTCCCGGAGCTTGGTGATTTCGGCAGCTTTCTTGATTTTCCGTGAGTAGGAAGAATTCTGGATCACTTCATTGATGTTGAATACCAAATCGTCAACAGTAAACGTTTTCAAATCCATCGCCATACCGAATCCAAAATACCCTAACTTCTTGGCATTATAAGGCTGCTCAGCAAACATGGGAAAACCAATCATGGGAACACCATGCAAGAAAGCCTCGTTCTGACCATAAGCCCCACAATGGGTGATAAACAATTTAGTGTTTGGATGGGCGAGAAGATCAGACTGCGGCATCCAGTCAGTTAACATAATATTCGGAGCAGTGTTAATTTTTTTAGATGTTTTGAAAACATAGTTATACTTTGTCCGAGTAAATGCGTCCAACAGGAGTCGAAAGGTTTTATCCGGGAAAAGTCTAACCTTGCTTCCGAATGATACAATGATCACTGGCTCTTTCTTTCCTTCCACGAACGTCCTATATGGCTCAGGTAAAGGTTTGATATCAGCTGATGATGTTGAACCTACGAACTTCACGCTTGGCAGAGTTGCTTTCGGGTATTCGAAGAGGTTCTTGCACAATTAGCCACAGCCAGCCATTAGCGGTGAGTGTTTCCATGGTGACATAAGGCATCTCGGGTGCGTATATACCCACAGCGTCGGGGTACGAGAAGGGGTCACTGATATAATACATGGAATGCACAATGAAATTAAACATACGATGTCCGAAGTCCATGACCGTTGTAGCGGCTATACCACGGCTTGGATCACTGGCTAGCACCAACGGGGTGCGGCTAGCCTGGGCTTCAAAAAAAGGTACCGTAGAAAATAAATGGTACATCAAGCTTGTAAGCTATAATGGTCAACATTCTTGGTAATGGTGTTGAATCGAATACTATCAAATCCAAATTCAGTTTCTCAATCGCATGAAACAGATTCGTGTCACGTAATATCATGTCACATATTTTCCTGAATTCATCAAAAAGGGGAGGCGTTTTATCTTGCTCAAAGAACCCAGTGATAGTCTTGTCAAATATATCCGCCTCAATGTCATACCCATCCACTGATTTGTATTTCAGTATATTGACTCCCGATACTTGAAGACCTTCCCGATTGGCTAGATATGACGGAAGAGCATTCCAGACCACGTGACCTCGTGCAGCCAGCTCTGCTGCCACGGGCAGACAGCCCCGGATGTGACTGTACTCGGGAAAGAAAAGGAAGAGGATAGAAGCAGCGTCCAGTCTGGCAACGATCACCATCAGCATCAGAGAAGTGACTGTATACGTCTGCCGAGACATATTGGCAGATCTGTTTCCTGTTTCAAAAGAAAATTGGATAAGTGAGTGCATTTTACATTGGATATTAGAGTCAATGCATGACTTCTACCACAAACTGAATCTGCCAAGAAAAGCCAGGGATAATAGCTTGAACTGCGATCCAGAAACAACGGCCATGTACCATACGCTCCCAAATCCCAGGTGTGTCGAATGGGCTTTACGATGCAGTGGATAAATGCATCCTTCTGTGCCACGTGTGCGTGCAATGGATGATTGTACTAGCCACATGAGATGTCGTATTTCAACATGGATACAGAGATATTCAGACACAGAGTTTACAGACTTCCAACCAACCAGTCCTCGTCTTACAGCTCCAGGCACACTAACAACAAGCAGTTTTTAAAGTCTTTTGGTCCTTTCCCACTCATCCGGATAACGCCCTATCCATTGATTCATAACATCGATCGGAATTGTATCAGCATGTGTTTGACGAGTTAATATTGTCCAAAATCGTACTCCCATCAATACAATATGTAAAGTTGTTGTTTGAAAAAGTGTCTAACACGATATGTTATCTACACTTGTCCAATTTATGTCAAGCTCGTCAAAATATGACCAGCTAAGCAGGTTTTGTCCATGAGAATTGTCAACCTAAACACATTGTTATCATTTCATATGCCTTTAAAGAAGGATACGGGAAGCCGGCAGACAGCGGGACGAACACGGACAGAACAGCAGAAAGGAAAGCCAGCTAGTTGTACTGCGAGCATAAAAACACCAGTTCTTTGTACGCCTCTATGCCTGTTGTTGTTTGAGGAGGTGTTACCTAGTGCCAGAGGAGTCCGTAAAATGGATGTGCTACAAGAAAATGCAACACTGCTGATACCGCGATAACAAGAATTCAGTCAGTCACTCTAGTCGCATGTACATAATGAGCAAGCACATTATGAGTTAACTTACTGAACGTAAATAAGTTCATACACTTACTATGGACTTGTTCTTACTGGCTGGGAAAGTTCAGGGCAGCTTGCAACACACGTGATCGGGTTCCCACTGAAATGTGATGGGTACAGAATGAATCGAGCTATAGCGTCTGTCTTGTCGTGTTGTCCACAGACCACACAGACCATATTTAGATCCCGCCGAAGGTATCATTACACAATGACACTTAGAAAGTGGTCAAATGTATATATTGACACCCGCGGGAGCCGTGCCAGTTTACACTTATCAGAGGGGTACACAAAGTCTGCAGTCTAGACTACCAGTTGTCCGACTTCCATTTTTGTGGAAGTCGCGGTGGCTGAGCGGGTTAGGTGATGATTAGGTGCCTGACTCTGAGGATGTGGGTTCGAATCCCGGATGGGACTCAGCCCAACAAAAGTACTAGAATCTGTCCTTTACTACGAAAGTGTGATCCCAGCATTTAAAATTCCTGCCGGCACGGTCTATGTTCATATCGGACGGTCAGATTTCAAAAGTAGCCTGTCCGGTGGTCTGGTAGATGTTTTTTACCCCTAACAGTAAATATTTCATAATATCAGACAGGTTCTCTTTTCGTCAGTTTGAGGTGTTTAAGGTATTATGATAATTATGTTAAACTATTTACAATTGGACAGTTCATTTTGCAATAACCAATCACAACACATGTACTTTCAGTTTACGTAAACTCGGTACATTGCCAGTTAGTGCTATGTTGTTCATTGCGACCCCTATAAACAGTAAAATATTCAGAAACCTAATTATTTTGTTTTTCATTGTTGAAAACCGGACAGGCAAGTTTGTTTTCGGACTGGTATTTTTTCAAAGTTACCACTCCGGCTGTCTGGGTTGGGATTTTGGGAGTTTTAAACACTGATCCCAAATATAACACATGTTACCCACCGAAGGTGTCTGTCAACAGTCACAGATCCGTGAACAACATTCAACAAGGCGGAGAATCAGACCATTTGTGGCTGTGGTTGATGACAAGGAAGGTTTGGATTGCCGACATTTACAATACAGCATTCCTATCTGAGAATGAGACTGACGGTCTGCTGCACGAAGTCTGTCCTCTAAATGTAGCTTTAATGGTTGTTTGTCAACACTGACCTCGTGCAAAGAGTTCGCTCCCCTGATGCCATAACCGTAAGCTTTCGACTCGTATCTTGAAATCATGCAACACTGGCGGATGTACGGAGAGCTCCTGAAACCCCGTGACCATGTCCCAAACAGATGGTTGAAGCACATGAATACCGAGATATACAGTCTCTGAATTCTCCCTGGACTGAAGTTTCAGTCCACCATAAGTTGCACCGTCGTGCTCTCGCCAGTCAGTGAACTTTGACTTTGGACCTGCTTTCCGATACTTGTTATCTGTAACACTGACCTACTTCCTCTGTACATAAGCTTCACTCAGTGAGGCAGTCCCTGTATTACACGCTGCCGACTGATATGACGGCGATGTGGGGATATAGACGTAGTCTGGTACGCGTAGATCGTTGCTTTCAGTCCTCTGTTGTATTTGTCATCCTTGGTTATATCCTGGTGTGGTACAGTTAGTCTGCAGTGTAAACCGTGTCCACTTCCACACTGATAAACGCATCTGCATAGATAGAGGGTAAACCATGTAAAGGATACATGTATATATATTGTTGAAGATGTACCAAGAGATGCCATCGAGCAGAATACGATGACACAGAGAGAAATTCTGTATTTCCTCCTGATATCATTCCTAAGATTACAGTTATAATATACATTCAATTGTAGGTGGCTAATACAATAAAATTGTATATGAATTGTAAATTCCTATATACACATGGCAAAAAGTATCGCACCACCCTTATTTGTTCCTAGTATCAATATGTTTGTTTCATTAACCATAGCAAAGAACTTATTCAAACTTACGATTTGACAATACAGGTTTAAAAAGAACGAAAACCTGTACTCTGTTCAAGAGAAGCAAACATTTTGCGGAGCTGATAACTACATGTATGGTCGTATGACGCTAACAAATGGGGTCATTTTCAAGATTCCAGTATAGAATCCTGTCTAGAATGTCAGTGATGTTCGGTTGTCCATTCAGATTTGGTCTGATCGTCACAAGGTTAAGTTTCCAGTTATATGAGAGGTACCTATGCAATAAGTCAATGAACACCCGCCAAACGACATGTGCTGTAGGATAATATGTTGTGTATATGCGGGGTTTCTGCAGCATCAAACACGAGCTCGGCCGTCAGCCATGAACAAAAGAAATCTGCTTTCGTCCGACCAGAGGACCGTTCCTCATACCATTACATTCCAATGACGTTGAGCTTGACATTAAGGAAGTAGTCCTGCTTTGTGCTCTATGGACAACAAGGTACGTTCTGCAGATTTTGGACCGTTCTTTTGGACAAAGTGGAAGCCACTCGGTTTCTAACGCGCCACTTGACATGAAGGGATGAAGTCTTGTGATTCTGAGAAGGGCTGTATCCTCCCTTGGTCGATCTGAACGCATAAGGTCAGTAACGTCATTAGTTTGCTGATATTGTCTTGCCAATCAGCTGATGACAACCAACATCTCTTGCAGTAGCCCTCAAGAACATGAGTAGTTATTAGTTGACGGGGTTCCATACGTGCTTATCAAAAACGAAATATATTGATTTTCCGAGTTATCGAGCTGTAAGAACAGTTAACTGAAACTGAATATTTGGTACACGTTTTGCTCTAATGCTCGCCTTACATCAATGTTTGGTTCGACTAAGGGTGAAGTCAATTACCCAAACAAGTATAATTATGATATGAATATAAATGGCTGTATGGGGGTTAAAATCATACGTGTTGCGATAGTTAGTTTTTATATTTGTATGCATATACATTTGCAGATTCAGGTAGGTAGGTAGGTGGGTGGGTGGGTGGGTGGGTAGGTAGGTAGGTAGGTAGATGGGTAAGAGATAGTTATGTGGGTGGGTAGATAGGTAGGTAGGTAGGTGGGTAAGAGATAGGTATGTGGGTGGGTAGATAGGTAGGTGGGTAGATGGGTGGGTAGGTGGGTGGGTGAGAGATGGGTATGTGGGTGGGTAGATGGGTAGGTAGGTATATGGGTGGATTGTCGGGTGGGTAGGTAGTGGGTAAGAGATAGGTAGGTAGGTGGGTAGGTAAGGTAGGGGGTAGGTAGGTAAGGTGGGTGGGTGGTAGGGTGGGTAGGTTTTAGATAAGTAGGTAGGTAGGTGGGTAAGAGATAGGTATGTGGGTAGGTAGGTAGGTAGATAGGTAGGTGGGTGGGTAGGTAGGTAGGTAGGTGGGTAAGAGATAGGTAAGTAGGTAGGTAGGTGGGTAAGAGATAGGTATGTGGGTGGATGGGTAGGTAGGTAAGGTGGATGGGTAGGTAGGTAGGTAGGTGGGTAAGAGATAGGTAAGTAGGTAGGTAGGTGGTAAAGAGATAGGTAAGTAGGTAGGTAGGTGGTAAAGAGATAGGTAAGTAGGTAGGTAGGTGGGTAAGAGATGGGTATGTGGGTAGGTAGGTAGGTAGATAGGTAGGTAGGTAAGAGATAGGTAAGTAGGTAGGTGGGTGGGTGAGAGATAGGTATGTGGGTAGGTAGGTAGGTAGGTGGGTAGGTAGGTAGGTAAGGTGGGTGGGTTGGGTAGGTAGGTAAGGTGGGTGGGTTGGGTAGGTAGGTAAGGTGGGTGGGTACGTAGGTGGGTAAGAGATAGGTAAGTAGGTAGGTAGGTGGGTAAGAGATAGGTATGTGGGTAGGTAGGTAGGTAGATAGGTAGGTGGGTAAGAGATAGGTATGTGGGTGGGTAGGTAGGTAAGTAGGTAGGTAGATAGATAGGTGTGTGAGTGACTATGTTTGTAGGTAGGTAGGTAGATAGATAGGTGGGTGAGTGGCTATGTTTTTAGTTAGGTAGATAGGTAGGTAGGTAGGATGTTAGAGTTGGTACAGGTATATGAGGTGAATTTAATACCATAGTTCTTCCCAAGTTTGTTGAGCCAAGTTGTGAGTAAATTCTCTTTCTGCCCCGGGTGAAAATTAGAACGTATCTGTTTCTTCTTCGAAATCATAGGGTGATCTGACACCGACATGTGTCTGCAGCATGGAGGTCGGCAACGTGGTCTCTTGTCCAGGTATGTACCAGGATGCAGGATACAGCCTGATCTGACACCGACATGTGTCTGCAGCATGGAGGTCGGCAACGTGGTCTCTTGTCCAGGTATGTACCAGGATGCAGGATACAGCCTGATCTGACACCGACATGTGTCTGCAGCATGGAGGTCGGCAACGTGGTCTCTTGTCCAGGTATGTACCAGGATGCAGGATACAGCCTGATCTGACACCGACATGTGTCTCCAGCATGGAGGTCGGCAACGTGGTCTCTTGTCCAGGTATGTACCAGGATGCAGGATACAGTCTGATCTGACACCGACATGCGTCTGCAGCATGGAGGTCGGCAACGTGGTCTCTTGTCCAGGTATGTACCAGGATGCAGGATACAGTCTGACCTGACACCGACATGTGTCTCCAGCATGGAGGTCGGCAACGTGGTCTCTTGTCCAGGTTTGTACCAGGGTGCAGGATACAGCCTGATCTGACACCGACATGTGTCTGCAGCATGGAGGTCGGCAACTTGGTCTCTTGTCCAGGTATGTGCCAGGATGCAGGATACAGTCTGATCTGACACCGACATGTGTCTGCAGCATGGAGGTCGGCAACGTGGTCTCTTGTCCAGGTATGTACCAGGATGCAGGATACAGCCTGATTTGACACCGACAAGTGTCTGCAGCATGGAGGTCGGCAACGTGGTCTCTTGTCCAGGTTTGTACCAGGGTGCAGGATACAGTCTGATCTGACACCGACATGTGTCTGCAGCATGGAGGTCGGCAACGGGGTCTCTTGTCCAGGTATGTACCAGGATGCAGGATACAGCCTGATCTGACACCGACATGTGTCTGCAGCATGGAGGTCGGCAACGTGGTGTCTTGTCCAGGTATGTACCAGGATGCAGGATACAGCCTGATTTGACACCGACAAGTGTCTGCAGCATGGAGGTCGGCAACTTGGTCTCTTGTCCAGGTATGTACCAGGGTGCAGGATACAGCCTGATCTGACACCGACATGTGTCTGCAGCATGGAGGTCGGCAACGTGGTCTCTTGTCCAGGTATGTACCAGGATGCAGGATACAGCCTGATCTGACACCGACATGTGTCTGCAGCATGGAGGTCGGCAACGTGGTCTCTTGTCCAGGTATGTACCAGGATGCAGGATACAGCCTCATCTGACACCGACATGTGTTTGCAGCATGGAGGTCGGCAACGTGGTCTCTTGTCCAGGTATGTACCAGGACGCAGGATACAGTCGGATCTGACACCGACATGTGTCTGCAGCATGGAGGTCGGCAACGTGGTCTCTTGTCCAGGTATGTACCAGGATGCAGGATACAGTCAGATCTGACACCGACATGTGTCTGCAGCATGGAGGTCGGCAACGTGGTCTCTTGTCCAGGTATGTACCAGGATGCAGGATACAGCCTGATCTGACACCGACATGTGTCTCCAGCATGGAGGTCGGCAACGGGGTCTCTTGTCCAGGTATGTACCAGGATGCAGGATACAGCCTGATCTGACACCGACATGTGTCTCCAGCATGGAGGTCGGCAACGTGGTCTCTTGTCCAGGTATGTACAAGGATGCAGGATACAGCCTGATCTGACACCGACATGTGTCTGCAGCATGGAGGTCGGCAACGTGGTCTCTTGTCCAGGTATGTACCAGGATGCAGGATACAGCCTCACCTGACACCGACATGTGTCTGCAGCATGGAGGTCGGCAACGTGGTCTCTGGTCCAGGTATGTACCAGGATGCAGGATACAGCCTGATCTGACACCGACATGTGTCTGCAGCATGGAGGTCGGCAACGTGGTCTCTTGTCCAGGTATGTACAAGGATGCAGGATACAGCCTGATCTGACACCGACATGTGTCTGCAGCATGGAGGTCGGCAACGTGGTCTCTTGTCCAGGTATGTACCAGGATGCAGGATACAGCCTGATCTGACACCGACATGTGTCTGCAGCATGGAGGTCGGCAACGGGGTCTCTTGTCCAGGTATGTACCAGGATGCAGGATACAGCCTGATCTGACACCGACAAGTGTCTGCAGCATGGAGGTCGGCAACGTGGTCTCTTGTCCAGGTATGTACCAGGATGCAGGATACAGCCTGATTTGACACCGACAAGTGTCTGCAGCATGGAGGTCGGCAACTTGGTCTCTTGTCCAGGTATGTACCAGGGTGCAGGATACAGCCTGATCTGACACCGACATGTGTCTGCAGCATGGAGGTCGGCAACGTGGTCTCTTGTCCAGGTATGTACCAGGATGCAGGATACAGCCTGATCTGACACCGACATGTGTCTGCAGCATGGAGGTCGGCAACGTGGTCTCTTGTCCAGGTATGTACCAGGATGCAGGATACAGCCTGATCTGACACCGACATGTGTTTGCAGCATGGAGGTCGGCAACGTGGTCTCTTGTCCAGGTATGTACCAGGACGCAGGATACAGTCGGATCTGACACCGACATGTGTCTGCAGCATTCACCGACATGTGTCTGCAGCATTGAGGTCGGCAACGTGGTCTCTTGTCCAGGTATGTACCAGGATGCAGGATACAGTCAGATCTGACACCGACATGTGTCTGCAGCATGGAGGTCGGCAACGTGGTCTCTTGTCCAGGTATGTACCAGGATGCAGGATACAGCCTGATCTGACACCGACATGTGTCTCCAGCATGGAGGTCGGCAACGTGGTCTCTTGTCCAGGTATGTACCAGGATGCAGGATACAGCCTGATCTGACACCGACATGTGTCTCCAGCATGGAGGTCGGCAACGTGGTCTCTTGTCCAGGTATGTACAAGGATGCAGGATACAGCCTGATCTGACACCGACATGTGTCTGCAGCATGGAGGTCGGCAACGTGGTCTCTTGTCCAGGTATGTACCAGGATGCAGGATACAGCCTCACCTGACACCGACATGTGTCTGCAGCATGGAGGTCGGCAACGTGGTCTCTGGTCCAGGTATGTACCAGGATGCAGGATACAGCCTGATCTGACACCGACATGTGTCTGCAGCATGGAGGTCGGCAACGTGGTCTCTTGTCCAGGTATGTACAAGGATGCAGGATACAGCCTGATCTGACACCGACATGTGTCTGCAGCATGGAGGTCGGCAACGTGGTCTCTTGTCCAGGTATGTACCAGGATGCAGGATACAGCCTGATCTGACACCGACATGTGTCTGCAGCATGGAGGTCGGCAACGTGGTCTCTTGTCCAGGTATGTACCAGGATGCAGGATACAGTCTGATCTGACACCGACATGTGTCTGCAGCATGGAGGTCGGCAACGTGGTCTCTTGTCCAGGTATGTACCAGGATGTAGGATACAGCCTGACCTGACACCGACATGTGTCTGCAGCATGGAGGTCGGCAACGTGGTCTCTTGTCCATGTATGTACCAGGATGCAGGATACAGCCTGATCTGACACCGACATGTGTCTCCAGCATGGAGGTCGGCAACGTGGTCTCTTGTCCAGGTATGTACCAGGATGTAGGATACAGCCATTGATGTCCTTTGATCTACATGTATAAGATATGGATTGGGGGGAGAGGTCACAAATTGTGTGTGGGTGTCCATAAGATATTACTGTTCTATCTGGCTTATAAGGAAAGAGAGTAGGGAGATTTTGCAAACAAATGTTTGTATTAAGGTCACCGAGGCTGATGGTAAATAGCACCGAAAAAAACCTTTCTACTTCCATAAGAAATATCTGCTAAAAGCAGAGTCGATTGTATAGTTACGGCTATATAATGAACATGTGTTTGTAACGTCACACACACCAATATCACTGCTGTATGACGCGGTCTGTCAACAAGTCTGGCCCAGACAAACCATTTAATTACATCATGATATACTATGACAGAGTATGTGTTTATGAATATCGTATCAAATAGGGATGACTGGTTTCAGCACGACAGTGCAACTTGTTATGGCAGATCCCGCGCCTCCTGAAACTTAAAACTTCACAGTCTGTATATCTTGGTATCCATGGGCTGCAACCATGTGTTGGGGACATTGGTCATGGTGTTTCAGGACTTCTCCGTACATACGCCAGTAGGTGTCCATGGCCTACCGTTATGGCATTAGGGGAGACAACTCTTTGCACGAGGTAAGTGTTCACAGGTACAAGAAAAAACTGTTTGAGAGGCATTCTAGAAGTTGCAAGTAATGACAAGTCTTTGTGGATGATCAACTTTTGTATTGTACAATGGCGACATACCGGTATAGATACTTATACCGTTTTCAAGCAGTATACGTAACTATACCGAAATGTTGCCATTGTACAATACAGAAGTTGATCATCTACAAAGACTTGTGATTCTTGGTATAAGAATAGAAGCGACAAAACCCTTTTCCACATTCATACAAAATCTCTGCTAAAAGAAAAAGTCGATTGTACAATTGTGACTATATCAAGAGTATACATGTATATTTGTTTCAGCAGTATTACAGCTGTACCATGTTGTTTGTAAACAAATCGAGTCTGGACCAGACAATCCAGTGATCCAATGCATGTGATACGATGACAGAGCATGTATGAATCACTATGAAATAGTGATGATACCAGGTTTTCGATGAAAGGGCAAATGTGCCCTGCCCTGCCGTGAGCACGCGTCAGAAACAAATGAAAAGTCTTGTCAACTGTTCACCTGAAATAATTCGAGAAAGTAGGGTAGAAAATAGGGAATTGCATAGGACATCATTTTTGTCACTGATTCATCAAATGTATAACTTTTCTCAAGATGTTTACCATGAAACGTTTCTCAAGCTTTACTAAGGCCTTGAAAGTTGTAACCTTGATCGAACAACTTCTGAGCAAGAGTGGTATGACGCACTCTGACATTTTGGTAAAAAAAGCATTCTCGAGTGTACCTAAAAAGTTGCTCCACATGAAAGGAATGTTGACCATTGAAAAGATTTCCTCTTTATTCATACATAAATTTGGAGAGTTTTTGTCACTCTGATTCTCCATGCATAAATCTAAATATGAAACATTTGTGGCGCTCTCACGCCTTAATTTCAGGTTTAGGTGGGTAAATCAGTAGAAGGAATCGGCTATGTGATGGTAACTGAACGATATCAGATCATCGATATACCTGAAGCTTACTTCTTGGCCAAATTACCTGGTTTTACATGAACTTCTAAAAAAGTTCAAAAGTACGATCTCTGAGTGAATGTATGAAGACTGGTCACTTTCCGTGGAAGCTTGAATGAAGTAGAACTATAAATAGAAAAGTAGCAGACGCAGAAGATGACGCAAACTGGCAAATGAAGAACTGGCAAACAACGCCCACTCAGACACCAGAAATGAGCCGTTTTGCCAACAATCACGGTGCTCTAGCCCCACAGAGACTGTAGACTCAACCAGACCTGAGTACAGTCTAGTTAAACTTGGTGTATTACCTGTTGTAGGTGGGATGTGCCTACTCTGTGACACCGAGTGTGATGATATCGTGAAACACCAACTCTTAAACTGCTGCAGTTTATTATCTAAGTTTAATGCACTTAGTGAACGTTTGTTTGACAATATGACCATTGAAAGCCATATGCAATGCAACGATTGTGATGATAATGAACTCAAGATTACCACCCTTCTAGGTGGAATCACACCACTCATTGAAAACATGTCACTGAATGAGTGGGCTGTATTTATTGACATTGCATCACCTCCTGGGACTTCACAGCCCTGCTGTATCTGTGAAGCTGAGACTTTGTCAGAGACTATGTTTGAATACGTAAATGTGTTTAATATTACAATATGAGATGCTTTCATATATGTACTATTCATCTCAATTGGACAAAATAAAGGTCATTCATTTACATGTATTCATTTATTCATTTATTCATTTATTCATTCATTCATCTTCATCTCAGTCTCCATCTCAATCATTCACGTTTTGCTTTTGGCATCTGAGCTATTCTTCTACAAACTGAGCAACATGACTTCCATAGACATTATTCACGTTTTTGTTTTCGCTGTTTACTGGCTTTCCTCAAGCAATAGCGCCACGACTTCCATATAAGGAAAACACACACATGGAGGATGAGCAGGACAAGCCCGATGACGTCCAGACACAAATACTGATACAACGACATGTCCTGACAATACGACCTCAGATGGGCGCCGCCATATTTGAGCACATGTTCTATCCAGTAAACAGCTTCATCTTTGGGACTTCTTTCTCGGAGCTTGGTGATTTCGGCAGCTTTCTTGATTTTCTGTGAGTAGGAAGAATTCTGAATCACCTCATTGATGTTTGACACCAAATCATCAACAGCAAACGTTTTCAAATCCATTTCCAAACCGAATCCAAAGTAACCTAACTTCTTGGCATTATAAGGCTGCTCAGCAAACATGGGAAAACCAATCATCGGAACACCTTGCAAGAAAGCCTCGTTCTGACCATTAGCCCCACAGTGGGTTATGAAAAGTTTTGTGTTCGGATGGGCGAGAAGATCCGACTGTGGCATCCAGTCGGTTAACAAAATGTTAGGTCCCAAGTTTACTTTCTTTTCCGTTTTGAAAATATATTTATAGTTGGTTTTAGAAAATGCCGTCAGTAGCTTCTTGGACATCGTGTCTGGAAGACTTTTCACAATACTTCCGAAAGAAACAATGACCACACCCTCCTTCGCTCCGTCCATGAACTTCTTATATTTGTCAGGGAGAGGCTTCGGTGTCACTGCGGACAGAGACCCAATCTGCTTCACATTGGGGAGAAAGGCGCTGTTGTAGTTTATTAACGGTTCCTGGTCAATTAGCCAAAGCCAGGCCTTGGCTGTCAGAGATTCCATAGAGATGTAGGGCCTTTCTGGAGCGTAAGTTGCGACACATCCATAGAGGGAGAAGGGGTCGTATACCCACACATGCATGGTAACAAGGATCACATTTGCAACACGTGTCCAAAAATCCATGTTTTCTGTCCATGCGAAAATTGGATACGGAAGAGCAGAGGGGACAAAGGGCGTCCGACTAGCATGGGGTTCGAACCCAGCTCCCATGAAGGCAAACGGAACGTCAAGCTTATATGCAATTATGGCCAGCATCCTTCCAGGAGGTAGGATATCAAATAAAATAAAATCGAAATGTAGCTCTGACAGAGTTTTAAATAGCTTCTCGTCCTTCAGTATGAGATCAGACACGTGGATCACTTCCTCGAACGGATCCTGTGCGTTGGTATTGTTTAAGTAATCGTTCACAACACGATCCAGTAGCTTTTCTTCAATGTTGAAGTCATCTACCGACTCATATTTCAGAATATTGACGCCCGGTAACTGCATACCCCTGTGATTGGCCAGTCTAGTTGGAACAGCATTCCATACCACGTGACCACGTGAAGCCAGCTCTATGGCCACGTTCAGAGAACCCCTCATGTGACTGTATATCGGGAAAAACAGGAACAATATATTGGCGGCTTCCAGGTTCGACACGCAGACCAGAAACAGAAGGAGACTTCCGGTTCCGGGTCCCATCACGATGTCGAGGCTATCTGCAAGGAATAAGAAAAGACAATGAGTGAGTAGGTTCTCAGGGGTCACTGCTTCCACTGTCCAGGACAGTTATATCCGCATTTCTATATCATTTGTCCGGACTTTTCTCTTGTTTGTAAAGGATTAGATTCTTTCTGAAATCAGAACAGACTGGCGTTATGCAAGCCTTTCGGTGCGTTATATATTAATATATATATTGTTTTTCATAATTAGATAATTATATACTACTAATGGGGTTCAGGACTGTTCCCTTGTATGTCAGTGTAACCGAATCGCTAGCTCTCCGCAGTGCTTCAATGACTGTGGCTATGTAGCCAATGCAAACACGGGTTTGTTGCAGACAATACAACAGTTAATCGGGGCTAATGTGAAACCCACGACCACCTTCCTGGCTTAACTAAGGGACACAACTCTGTGCCTTGATGACTGCAGCATCCGTGACCGAACAGGTGAACCTGTACACCTTTGTACATGAATATCATGTCACCACACATGGCACTGAAAACATAACTAAATATATCATCCGCCAGGTGTCGCTTCACATCTGTCGAGGGACGAGCGACGCCTGGTGGCACTGTGGCGGCGCTAATCAGTATACAGTGGGACATGGAAGTTGCAAGGTCAAGGAGAATGTATGTGATAACACGTAAGGGGAATGAATATGATAACTCATAACTCATAACTCAGAATGAAGTTCTCCAAACCTGACTTTGACATTCGTCCGTCCAGAGGACCTTTAATCCCCTGACCTCAAATTCCAATGGCATCGAGATTGATACCAGGCTAGTCAAGCTACTTCGTGCTCTTGCTCTCTGCCCGGTCAATTTTAGCTGATTTCCTTCTGATGGGCAAACGACGATGGGGAAGCCACTTTGTTTTTAATACGCCACTTGACATGAACGGATGGTCTTGTGATTCTGAGAAGGGTCATATCCTCCCTGGGAGGTGGGGCGGTGGGGTAGCCTGGTGGTTAAAGCGTCCGCTCGGCACGCCGAAGTCCCGGGTTCGAATCCCCACATTGGCACAATCTGTGAAGCCCATTTCTGGTGTCCCCCGCCGTGATATTGCTGGAATATTGCTCAAAGCGGCGTAAAACCATACTCATTCACTCACGCCATTAGGTAGCTGGTGTTTTCTGGCCAGTCGGCTGATAGTCGATGGATCACTATGTTGCAATAGGCCTCAGTGACATGTTAGCATTCCGCATACCAACATATTTTATATTTGGGACTACAATTTTTTTAGTGAAGTACAGATTCTAGTACTTTTGTTGGGTTGGATCCCATCCGGGATTCGAACCCACACCGTCAGAGTCAGCAACTTAATCACACAATGTCAGTCACCTTACCCGCTCAGCCACCACGGGGTATTGACGCATGTTGTAGTAGCTCGGGGTATACATAGCTATACCACAGTGTTATATCCAAATAGACAAGTGACAACGAATATCTTTGATCGGTATGCTATATAGCTATGTATACCCCTAGTTACGTTAATATGCGTCAATACACCTTCAATTCGTCGGATATCCTAAAACAAATAACCTGGTTGATATTCATCTGATAGGGTATATATTAACATAATGTCAATACACCTTCAGTTCGTCGGACATCCTAAAACAAATAACCTGGTTGATATACATATGATAGGGTATATATTAACATAATGTCAATACACCTTCAGTTCGTCGAGCATCCTAAAACAAATAACCTGGTTGATATACATATGATAGGGTATATATTAACATAATGTCAATACACCTTCAGTTCGTCGGACATCCTAAAACAAATAACCTGACTGATATACATCTGATAGGGTATATATTAACATAATGTCAATACACCTTCAGTTCGTCGGACATCCTAAAACAAATAACCTGGCTGATATACATCTGATAGGGTATATATTAACATAATGTCAATACACCTTCAGTTCGTCGGACATCCTAAAACAAATAACCTGGTTGATATACATATGATAGGGTATATATTAACATAATGTCAATACACCTTCAGTTCGTCGAGCATCCTAAAACAAATAACCTGGCTGATATACATCTGATAGGGTATATATTAACATAATGTCAATACACCTTCAGTTCGTCGGACATCCTAAAACAAATAACCTGGCTGATATACATCTGATAGGGTATATATTAACATAATGTCAATACACCTTCAGTTCGTCGGACATCCTAAAACAAATAACCTGGTTGATATACATATGATAGGGTATATTTTAACATAATGTCAATACACCTTCAGTTCGTCGGACATCCTAAAACAAATAACCTGGTTGATATACATATGATAGGGTATATATTAACATAATGTCGATACACCTTCAGTTCGTCGGACATCCTAAAACAAATAACCTGGTTGATATACATATGATAGGGTATATATTAACATAATGTCAATACACATTCAGTTCGTCGAGCATCCTTAAACAAATAACCTGGTTGATATACATATGATAGGGTATATATTAACATAATGTCAATACACCTTCAGTTCGTCGGACAAAAAACAAATAACCTGACTGATATACATCTGATAGGGTATATATTAACATAATGTCAATACACCTTCAGTTCGTCGAGCATCCTTAAACAAATAACCTGGTTGATATACATATGATAGGGTATATATTAACATAATGTCAATACACCTTCAGTTCGTCGGACATCCTAAAACAAATAACCTGGCTGATATACATCTGATAGGGTATATATTAACATAATGTCAATACACCTTCAGTTCGTCGGACATCCTAAAACAAATAACCTGGCTGATATACATCTGATAGGGTATATATTAACATAATGTCAATACACCTTCAGTTCGTCGGACATCCTAAAACAAATAACCTGGCTGATATACATCTGATAGGGTATATATTAACATAATGTCAATACACCTTCAGTTCGTCGAGCATCCTAAAACAAATAACCTGGCTGATATACATCTGATAGGGTATATATTAACATAATGTCAATACACCTTCAGTTCGTCGGACATCCTAAAAACAAATAACCTGGTAACCTGATATACATCTGATAGGGTATATATTAACATAATGTCAATACACCTTCAGTTCGTCGGACATCCTAAAACAAATAACCTGGTTAACCTACATATGATATACATCTGATATGTCAATATATTAACATAATGTTCGTCGTCGGACATCCTAAAACAAATAACCTGGCTGATATACATCTGATAGGGTATATATTAACATAATGTCAATACACCTTCAGTTCGTCGGACATCCTCAAACAAATAACCTGGTTGATATACATCTGATAGGGAATATATTAACATAATGTCAATACACCTTCAGTTCGTCGGACATCCTAAAACAAATAACCTGGTTGGTATACATATGATAGGGAATATATTAACATAATGTCAATACACCTTCAGTTCGTCGGACATCCTAAAACAAATAACCTGGTTGATATACATCTGATAGGGAATATATTAACATAATGTCAATACACCTTCAGTTCGTCGAGCATCCTAAAACAAATAACCTGGTTGATATACATATGATAGGGTATATATTAACATAATGTCAATACACCTTCAGTTCGTCGGACATCCTAAAACAAATAACCTGGTTGGTATACATATGATAGGGAATATATTAACATAATGTCAATACACCTTCAGTTCGTCGAGCATCCTAAAACAAATAACCTGGTTGATATACATCTGATAGGGTATATATTAACATAATGCTTCACAACGCTGTCCGTGTATCTATACCTGTCACTAGAGATAACATTATGTTCCTCGGTCAGTTTGTCCTTCCCCGGCTTTTTCGTTTCGTGGACTGAGTCTCCGAGGTAATGGCTCAGATATTCACATGACATGGTTACGTTGCCTAATGGGATCGAACTGGGATCGAACATAAAGTTTCATTTTAATGTAAGCGGAGTCCTTGAGTCTCTAGCACTCCGGCCTAAGTACAAGCATACAGTTTGAATGTTACATCTTACATTCTGGGCAATATCTACAATGCTTATTCTACAACTTCCTTTGAATGGACACACATAAATTGACTTTATCTTGACATTTATGATTATCTAATCTTTGATGAGACCAGGGTTCGCTTGGGGTGTCAATCAGCAATGAAAAATAGCGGCTGGGGCACGTACAGTTGATTCAACAGCCGAACCATTTACTTGGAGTGTGAGAGTAAAAACTTACATTGGACAAGGAACGGATGAGGGATTAGGTAATCTAGAGCTGGGTCTCATCTGACAGCCAGTAAATCCAGTGCTGATCACAGTCTGATGGTCCCTTACGTCTCTGCTACCCACGCAGATATCCCGGGATACTGACTTCAATAGACCGTGGGCTGTCATGTGATTCAACTGTCCTAGTAAGGGGAATTCTCAAAAGTCATTTGTTCAATTATTTGGCAGTGTTTTTTGTTTATAATTAACTTTGAGCACCTCAAACATACATTTGAAATTTTATAATCGTGGATAATTATTTTGAGGTGACAAAAACTCCACTTCCAGCAGTCTGAAGTAAACTATACATAGTCGTTTTTGAGACGAACCATCCCTGAGGCTTGAAAGGGGTAGCCAGATTACCCGAATATCAACATTGTCTGTTCAGAGAAGGGTCACATGACAGGCGTGACTCAGGTAACGACCTTGAGCAGTATTTCACCTGAATCATGCTTTACCGCCTAGTGTCGCCTGCAGCAGTCTGGGGTAACCAACGAGAACTGGGACGGTACATACAGATAACGTACTATAACTGGGTGACGTCCCATTTAACATAACTCCGATTAATAACCTCATTACAGCATCTACACTCAGAGTGAATGTTGTGAGACGCCGCAGCTACATTGTGTATGTAACTATTGGACCAAACAAACCAGTGACTGTAAACATCAGAATGATTCATGCCGGGAGGGCAGGACAACACGTTAAATAATATCTTATTAAAATCTTTATTTTAGAAACACTACAGATATCGTTATTATTGAAATAGACATTACGCCACAAAACACCAGACAATACATGAACACTTGTCATTGTTTAGATATGCAGCTAACTTGGACGATAACACTGATTCGTTTTGTTATTTATATGTGAATACCTGTCAGTAATCGGTAACTTGCACATCCACACCACATGCGCAGAAACATCGAAAATGAAAATGATAATTCTCAATGTTTCCTAACAAAAAACAAATTAAATCATACTCATCGCATAGACCAAGTTGTTCAGTCAAACGGGAGCAGTACTGCAGTAAATAGGGGTTTACGACATTGTGTACTGTTTATCTCGGCTTTGGTCGCTACACACGTTCACAGAGGTAACAAATGAGCGTGGTTCCTAGCTGCCATGGTCCAGCACTGCGCAGTTACCGGAAATATCCTCGTAAATTGTAGCAATGTGGAGGATATGGCGTGACGAGAACACGATGTAACCACAGGGCTATACCACACACGCGCACGCACGCACGCACGCACGCACACACACACACACACACACACACTTAAGAAGACTGAATTGTACACCTATATCCATTATTAACGTTTTTGTTTTGGTCGAATACTGGCTTTCCGCTGGGCACTGGTCCGTCCACACAAATGTCAGATCAACAACCAAACAACAAAGCACTGCCATCAACATGTTTTAGGAAAGGAAAATACTTTAACTCTCTTTTTGAGGCGTTTTCTTCCCCATCATGTCAGTAAATCATTATTGTCAAATAGGAGCGCCCATCTGAACTACAATGAAAATGGACACCTGTTCCAAACTGTCCATTAATATATTTAATTCATCACACTAAACATCTCTCTTTTTCCTCTGCGTGAATACTCTTAGTTTACTTGTGATGTAATATATTTTTTCTCTTTGTGTATCCTCTGTGCTCCGCCCATTATCCAGCTGTGATGTTGTATAATTATTCTATTTGTCTGTAGTTATTCTTTTGAACACGTTTCACTTATGTTTACATATAAGTCAGATCATGCCAGTGTTTAATGTCAAACACTAATGGCCTGGCACGTCCGTGTGCCAAATACGCATTATGTCAGAAAGCGCACAAAAAATCTCCAAATCATGTCTAATCTTATTGAAATCTTTATTTTAGAAAAAAAACTGGCGGTATCTTTGTTCTTGAAATAGACATTACGCCACAAAACACCAGACGATACATGAACACATGTCATTGTTTAGATAAACAGCTGCCTTGACCATAACACTGATTCATTTTGCTATATATATGTCAATATCTGTCAACAATCTGTTAATTTCACATCTACACCAAGTACACAGGAATATGGAAATATGTAAATGATAATTCTCAGTGTTTCCCCACAAAAATATAAACTGAATCATATTCCTCGCATTGATCGCCTTAAGGTTTAGAGTTAACCGGAAGCAGTACTGCAGTAAATAGAGTTTCAGAAATTGTCGACTGTTCTGGTTGTATCCCAGTTCTGGTCGCTACACACTTTTACAGAGCGAGCAAAGGGGCGTAGTCCACAGCTGCCTTGGTCCAGCACTTTGCGGTCACACGATGTATCCTCGCAAACTGTACTAATGTGTAGAATATAGCGTGACGAGAACACGATGTATCCTCGCAAACTGTACTCATGTGTAGAATATAGCGTGACGAGGACACGATGTATCCTCGCAAATTGTACTAATGTGTAGAATATAGCGTGACGAGGACACGATGTATCCTCGCAAACTGTACTAATGTGTAGAATATAGCGTGACGAGGACACGATGTATCCTCGCAAACTGTACTAATGTGTAGAATATAGCGTGACGAGAACACGATGTATCCTCGCAAATTGTACTAATGTGTAGAATATAGCGTGACGAGGACACGATGTATCCTCGCAAACTGTACTAATGTGTAGAATATAGCGTGACGAGAACACGATGTATCCTCGCAAACTGTACTAATGTGTAGAATATAGCGTGACGAGGACACGATGTATCCTCGCAAATTGTACTAATGTGTAGAATATAGCGTGACGAGGACACGATGTATCCTCGCAAACTGTACTAATGTGTAGAATATAGCGTGACGAGAACACGATGTATCCTCGCAAACTGTACTAATGTGTAGAATATAGCGTGACGAGGACACGATGTATCCTCGCAAATTGTACTAATGTGTAGAATATAGCGTGACGAGGACACGATGTATCCTCGCAAACTGTACTAATGTGTAACACGATGTATCCTCGCAAACTGTACTAATGTGTTTAGAATATAGCGTGACGAGAACACGATGTAACCACTGGGCTATACCCCACCCCACCCCCACCAACCCCCACATAATTACACACACTGAAGTAAGAAGACTGAATTGTACACTTGTATATATTCATTATTCACGTTTTTGTTTTGGCCGATTACAGGCTTTCCTCAAGCAATAGCAGCACGACTTCCATATAAGGAAAACACACACATGGAGGATGAACAGGACAAGCCCGATGACGTCCAGACACAAATACTGATACAACGGCATTTCCTGACAATACGACCTGAGATGGGCGCCGCCATATTTGAGCACATGTTCTATCCAGTAAACAGCTTCATCTTGGGGACTTCTTTCCCGGAGCTTGGTGATTTCTGCAGCTTTCTTGATTTTCTGTGAATAGGAAGAATTCTGGATCACCTCGTTGATGTTGGAGACCAAATCGTCAACAGTAAACGTGTTCAAATCCATTTTAAAACCGAAGCCATGATATTCAAGCCTCATTGAATTATACGGTTGATCTCCAAACATGGGAAAACCAATCATCGGGACACCTTGTAAGAAAGCCTCGTTCTGACCATTAGCTCCACAGTGGGTTATAAACAATTTAGTGTTGGGATGGGCAAGTAAGTCCGACTGTGGCATCCAGTCAGTCAACAGTACGTTAGGTCCCACTTTGAACTTTTTGTTTGTCTTGAATATGTATTTGTAGTTGGTTCGCGAAAATGAATCCAGTAACCTTTTCGATATTTTATCTGGAAGCGACTTCACATTACTTCCAAAAGAAACAATGACCACGCCTTCTTTTGCCTTGTCCATAAACTCCTTGTATTCCTGAGGGAGTGGCTTTGGATCAGACGCTGACAGAGATCCAATTCGCTTGACGTTGGGCAAGGTGGCTGCTGGGTAGTCAAGGAGAGGTTCAATGTCGATGAGCCAAAGCCAGGCCTTAGCTGTCAAGGCTTCCATTGAGATGTACGGCTTCTCTGGGGCATAGGCTGCTACTGGCCTATAGGTAGAGAACGGATCATAAACAAACACGTACATCACAGTCGTAATGACATTCGCAACACGAGTCAAAAAGTCCATTTTCGGTGTTCTTGGGGAAATGATGAAGGGGAACGCAGATGGAATGAAAGGATTCCGGCTAACTTGAGGCTCGAAAGCTGCCCCAATGAATATGAAGGGAATGTCCAATCTGTGGGCAATGATAGTCAACATTCTCGCTATGGGTACAGCATCGAATATAATCAGATCAAACTTTAACTCTTCGATTCTCCTGAATAGTTCCTGGTCACTCAGTATACTACCACAAATACCCCTTATAAGACCAAGAGGCAAAGTAGAACTGCTTTCTTTGAAATATGCGTTAACCATGTCTTCAAGTATTACTTTGTCAAAGTCATATTTATCAACCGATTTGTATTTCAGGATGTGGACGCCATGTGCTTGAAGGCCCTTGTGATTGGCCAGTTCAGTTGACAGCGCATTCCATACAACGTGACCACGCGAAGCCAGCTCTGTTGCCACATTCAGAGATCCCCGGATGTGACTGAATGAAGGCATGTACAGGAACAGAATCCTGGCGGCCTGAAACCCAGGCAGACACAACAGCAGCAGCACCACCACCACACTTCCGGTATCGAACCTCATCCTGGACAATTGAAGCTCTCTGGAAGATAGAAAAGATATTATATTGAGTCGAGAAATATGCAACGGAGGCACCAGAAATGTGTTTCACGCATTGTATCCTGTTTGGAATTGAACCCGGGCATTAAGCGTCATGTATAAACGCGTGTTTGCCTAACCTACCCCACCTTCCTAAACGTTTCAGATGCTATGATGTTGTTAGTTTAGGTTTCCGAGTTTAGGTTGTTTGGTGAAACAAACAAAGTGGTCTTTTTACCTTCGACGTCTTGAGGATGAAATGCGTGTTTTCAACAACTGCATGAAGACTTAAACATCGTTTTATGCAAGGATGGCCCAGAAAAGTTGTTTCCTTCAGGATCTTCGGCATTCCATTTCCTTTTCGCACAATCTGAATTCCAAGTTAAATTATTGTCCTGGAAGATTCATTGCAGATAAGATTGGTTTTCTAGCAACACCCAACGTGATAGCTGTCCATAAAAGGGGGGAGATTCGACTTGAGATAGGACAGTGAGCTTGTCCCCACTCGCAGATCTGAAAGTCGCGTAACTGTCAGACCATAGCAACACTTGCTGTGATTATCGATGTGAGAGCAGTGTCATTGTAAGTCAATGTTGCCAAGATGCAGAGACGACAATAGTTCTGATTTACTCTACTTCCATCCAACTATGATGGGTTTCACAGGTTGTACCCATGCAGGGAATGGATGCAGGGTCTTCCACGTGACCAGACATGACACTAACCTTCAGACTACCCGACATTGGCAGAGACAAACAAGATGTGATGCTTTTTAAAAAAATATTAATGATCTTCTCTTGGGCCTGGTCCATCCAAACCATGTCAAACCAACAACCGAAATACCAAAACACGGCCATCAATACGTTTACGAAAAGGAAAAAGCTTTAACTCCCTTTTTCCAGGAGTTATCTCCCATCTTGTCAGTTTGTTAGTATTGGGGAGCGCCCATCTGAACTACAACGAAATGTACACTTGTTCCAAACTATCCGTAGATATATTCATCAGACTAAAAGAATGAAATGAATGTAAAACTGCTGCACATCTCTCTCTCTTTCCTGTTTTCTGAATACTCTTAGCTTTCTTGTGATACAATATAATCCTTCTCTTTGTGTATCCTCTGTCCTTGGTACAGATTCCAGTTGTGATGTTATGTAACTATTCTATTTGTAAGTACTTGTTCTTTTGAACGCGGGCGGTGGGGTAGCCTAGTGGTTAAGGCGTTCGCTCGTGGCGCCCACATGGGCACAATGTGTGAAGCCCATTTCTGATGTCCCCTGTCGTGATATTGCTGGAATATTGCTAAAAGCGGCGTAAAACTAAACTCACTCAACCACTCTTTTGAACACGTTTCACTTATGTTTACATATAAGTCAAATCCTGCCAGTGTTTAATGTCACAAACTAAATGACCTGGCGGGCCCGTGTGCAAAATACGCATTATGTTGGAAAGCGTACATTAAATCTTAAATCTCCAAATCATCATCATCACTATCAGCCTTTTAGGGGACAGGGTAACCTCAGTTGTGATAACTATCAGTCCTTTCGTTGTGAATCACACACACACACACACACACACACACACACAGATATATATATATATATATATATGAATGAATGAATGAATGCTATAATCTAATAATAATATACATGCATTTACATTATATATACTAGCCACATAAAGAAACTGTGCATTGTCAAAATGTTATCCCAGTTGATAAGTACGATAACAAGTTCAAAGGTACATATAAACTTTAATTGAGGGATCATGAGACCATAACAAGTCGGGAGAATTTCAATTGAAAAGTCAATCACAATGACGTCACGAGTCCACATGCGGGACAGGGCTCAAACGACCATGTCACAAGCTCAATAATGGGTATGTCCACCATCGGCATTGAGAACAGCAGTGCATCGACGGCGCATAGAGCCTATCAAACGTGCAAGGAAGGCTTGTTGGATGTCACGCCAGATTCTTTCAAGTTCTGTTGCAAGGTCAAGGACGTTATCTGGCGGATGAGGAAGACGGCGTAGACGTCGATCCATCTCGTCCCAAACATGCTCTATCGGGGAGAGATCCGGTGAATTTGCAGGCCAAGGCAGTAAGTCAATGTTGTGGTGTTGCAAGAAATCCATAGCAACCCTTGCCGTATGAGGGCGGGCATTGTCCTGTTGGAATGTTAACCCAGGGCCATGACGTTGCAGAAAAGGAATTGCCACAGGTCGAAGAATCTGATCCCTGTAGCCCACACCAGTTAAGTTGCCCGGACAATCACCAAAGGAGTTCTTTGGCGTGCTGTTATTCCACCCCAAATCATCACGGAACCACCATCAAAGCGATTCCTCTCCAAGACACAGGCCTGTGCATAACGTTCTCCCACGCGTCTATAGGCACGTTGACGTCCATCACTATGGGAAATGTTAAACCTGGACTCAGCTGGAAAAACAACATTTCTCCACCAAAACAAGGGTCTGCGGACATGATTTCGGCACCACATTCGGCGAGCTTGTCGATGACGTTGTGTCAGGATAGGCCGTATGGCGGGACGTCGTGGTCTGATCCCGTGATGAGGTAAACGTTGTCGAACTGTGTTGGGGTGGATACGGCGAAGTCCTGGGATGGTTCGGGCAGTCATCACTGCAGTCTGAAACCTGTGGCGAAGATGGGTCACCCTTATCCATATTTCCTGTCTTGGCGTTGTTACACGTGGACGTCCAGGACGTGGCCGATCGATGACGTCATTTGTGTTCTGGTAGCGTCTCACCAGTGCAGAAATGGTGTTCCGGTGGCAGTGGAAATGTGCAGCCACTTGTCGTTGAGACATTCCCCCACGGACCATCCCAATGGCCTCATGACGTTGGGCAGACGTGAGCCTTGGCATGCTATGCATTTCAGTAGCCGTTTAATTTTTTTGAACGATCGCATGAGCAGGGCTTGAGCTTTCCAAAGTGACAGTATTGTGTGGCATTCATTTGCTCTGTTTCTCTTTCCCGGAATGCACGTGCAACAACGTATTGCACGTCTCAAGGACGAACCCACTGACGTCACGGAACGTGGCACGTGCATGTATGTTGGATACATGTCACTTATCTCTGAGTTTAAATCCTTATGTGTCTACACAGGTTTGATAAATTTAGATTTTAAAGTTTTGTATGCACAGTTTCTTTATGTGCCTAGTATATTATACCCTTGGACTTTCAAACTGTGACTTTCAGCACCCGTGTGGACAGATCAAGTCCACCCGGACCCAAACCAACTGGGACTTCTTGGCACGCAACTAAGAGCTAAAGTCCACTAAGTCAACAAACCCGCGAGGCAAGGCCGGGCTTCTGTTTTCGCTGAACAGGGAGAAATAGGGTCACTCTGAAAGCGCCAAGTTGATTGTGCACCCCGACAACAGAACAAGTTTACGGCAGTGTAGTCTCTCGTACAGACCCTGAAACAAATATATCCAAGAAAGCCCACACAAGTCTAGAAAATGTGGCAAGTCTAGATTTCCTCAAGAAGAAAGTCTCAGGGCTCCTTTTCATTATATATATTTTCTTTTACTATGAACTTTTTTCAGTAAAATATGTTCATTTCAGAGACTAGTTGTTAGTCTAACGGCAGTGTCGAAGTACGAGATTAGACTGGGGAGAATTCCATACAGCTGGAGATGGCAGTTCAAACTTTAAATAAATCACATGGGTTTCCAGTACGTCTCCCCCTGAATAGTTTAATCTTCCCACGAGTGACAGGACTGCATGGGTGCATGGCGAGAGTAATGAAAGTCAATACTACTATAATATTAATGTTCATGATAGCAGGGACCATGTAAACGTCGGGTCGCCCTCGAGCCAATGCGCAGAACCAGCGCAACGGCCTGTACTATCATCTGGTCTCTGATAATAGTAAATGTCCAACAACCCAGTCTCTACATATTTGAAGACGAAAGACAGACTCGTTTGATAAGCATATATGAAATTTCAAATTTTACTATTTCATGAATGTACATATTTTCTGAAAACTGTTTCTAATGCATTAAAGTAAAGTTCACAACAAACTTCAAACTTATTACTTCAGTTTAATTGGGGCTTGGGGTTGGGAGAGGTTCTGAGTGGCATATTATGCTACGATCCTGTACGTCTTGTGTTATTACAATGAACAAATGTTTACAACAGAACTAAATTTAACTGGAGAAAGTTTTGATAAGTCTAACAAAAATACTACACAAATATATCACCCCCTCTAGGAAGAATTTAATGTCTAGCATGCTGATGTCAGCATCAAATAAGCGTACAACCCTAACCCTGCACAGCAGGGGGAGGGGGTCATTTTCATTGCTTTCGAAAAAAATTAACACATTAAACTTCTCCTGTACTAGCAGACTTGTTGCTATGGAAAAACACCTCCTATGACCACCGGACAGATACAGTCATGAATTCAAATTTGGATTTCAAAAAAGAGAAACATATTTTCAAAATGAATGTCTTGTAGATTCTCTGCATCAGTACATTTTGCAGTGAGTCTTCACCACACGGGCGTGTCACGCTTAGAAACAGCGTTAGAAAGACATATGGGTATATAGACCCTTTTAGTACTATATAGTACTAGGGTATGGTCTATATACCTATATGTCTTTCTAACGCTGTTTCTAAGCGTGACACACCCATGTGGTCTTCACATCATCCTTCTGTATACTTTGGCTTAATTACATCATGAACCGGTAAGCCGATGTTTGTACTTGAATCCTGCTTTGCTTTGCATGGAAAGACAGCTTTAACCAGGCAACGTGACCACGCTCCATTAGTGTATAAGATTGTGCCCGGCCTTTAATCAGAATAGTCCTGAATTCAAACTGTCCGCTAGCCACGAGACGTCGTCTTCGCGCACAAGCGATGAATGATAAATGGACGGTGTTCTCGTGTCAACCTACGATAAACTCGCTGAAAGCTATACTCAGGGATAATGCTAAACGCACCGGTTTTCTTACCTTTCTGCAAGCGGGGTGTTTCTACATACGTCCCGAACCTATTGAGGGACTGCTGTGAGACCCACAGTGCAAACCGTAACAGCTGCCACGTGACACATCCGAGGGGTCTTCTCAAAAAGTTAAAACACCGATTATAAGATTTTCCTGTGTCTGATTGAACGCTTGTTGGGCCTGCTTTGGCAATTGACGACAAACGTTTAAATAGATACTATAACTTACACATTCACAATTCCTCTCATGAAACGATATGTTATAACAAACGAAGAAAACTGTCAGCGAGATTTTGGGATGATCCATACATGAAGGTCAATACGTTTAAAGGTTGTGAGTTCACCAGTACTTACGAATGTTGAGGCCTTTCAGTAGAAATCATTGAATACACAAACTACACACGTGTACGGAGCTCCGTACGGGACACAAGCATCCCAGACCATTGAGACCAGATTAGCAAGATTGGGTATGTCCAGATTACCAAAGCGCCAGAAAATAAGCACTGTTCTGGACTCTATTCTGATCATGCACTTTTTATCTTGTAGATATGTATTTTGAAATTAGATTACTCTATTTTAGGGGATACATGTTTGTCTAATTCGTTTGATTCCCCACAATGGTATCAGATGTAAAGCCCATACCTCGTGTTCCCTTCCGTGTTATTGCACAACATATTGCTGTGAGCAATGTAAAACAACACCCCTCGCTCTCTCCTCACAAACCATCACTGCGACCCTGCAAGTATACGCATCTGGCTCTATGCGATCGTGTGTGCATTCGTTTGTGAGCTTGTAGCGGAGGATGAGAGTGTAGCCATGCCCTTACAACGCTGATGGGTCTGGGTTCAATTCCAAACAGGGGTCCATTTAATCCATAATATTTGGGCAAAATTGTTGCAATCGGCATAAATTTCAGTTACCTCCGTCATTCTCTCAAGGGTCGAACATGTGGCCTAATGCTTAAAGAATTAAAGATGAACCCCAACAATAATGACAGGTCCGTTCTCAGACTAGAAAGGTCCGTTCTCAGAGTTAACAGGACGTTCTCGGACTTAACAGGTCCGTTATCGGACTTGACAGGTCCGTTTTCAGACTTAACAGGTCCGTTCTCGGATTTCACAGGTCCGTTCTCAGACTTCCATTTCATTTAACAAATGTATCGATGAACACATCATTAAGGTAGAAATGCATCCCTAAGACATTTTAAAAAGTACAACAAATTCATTAGTTGGATTTGCTCTTATTCTCCTCACTGAGAGATAGAACATCTTACGATAAAACAACCAAGGGATGATTCACTGAATCCGGCATTTGTCACATGACGACGCACATGAGTCCATGGTCACATGTACTTTTTAACGAATCAAAACAAAGTATTGGAACAAGTGATCAGAATCAGGTCATACCGAGTCGGCCATTACGTTATGGAAACCTGAAAGAACTGTTGTTTAACTTGACACGATCTTTTTAAGAACCAATCTTTCATAACACAGTTTGTATGATGGAATCTATGGGTACGTAATTTTATTTCATTGGTCATTAAAATAGATGATTGATCGAATAAAGTCAAAAGGAAGAAATGTAATCTTAACCCCATGACGACTTTGAAACCTTGTTGAAACTTTGGGCACAAAAGAAGCACATTTGTTGATATACCCATAAAGAGTTCTGTGTTATGCTTCAATCAGTATTTCCACATTCTCTTCCCACAGAGGTTACTCCTGTCATATCTTCCTACGTATACGTAACCTCTGTTCTAATACGGCCCTTTCATGGTGTGAGCGTTCAAGACTCGTGATTGGAGGCAATCAGATTTAGTTGTGCAATCAGCGACGTTGTTTCAAAAGTGATCATTCGCAAGGCCTCGGTAATTTCCGTATGCTTCGAGAAAACTAAACCTCTTCCCCTGCGCGATGCGCAAACGTTTCTTCTAGACAGAACTCAGTCATGTTATGGCGGATCAGTTGCGTCTCCATCGCCCTCGTTGACAACGGACAAGCTAGCCATTAAACGTCTTGTGTGTAATATCAACACAAGTCCCCGGCAGATGGGGGATATTTGTGGCCCCACATTTGCTTGTGTTAGTCAAGTTGAATCTAAGTCGATGTAACACGTGTTCTGATTGGATAGAAAGAAGGGAAATAATTCGTGTTGCGATCTTTTGCCGCTAGGGGATTTTACGAGAACCGGGAAATATGGCCGTATTAGAACAGAGGTTCGTAGGAAGATATGACAAGTAACCTCTGTGGGAAGAGAAAGTATTTCCAAGGTTTCAGTGAAATTATTTTTTACAAGTACATGTTCTCTTTTGAGTGCTGACAAAGTTCGATTACAGTTCATTGCTGGGATATAATTTTGCCAATTTAGAAATTTTCGAAACAGAATACCAAACTTCAGTTATATCATAAATTCAAGTGTTACGCGTTGATTCCCAAGTTGAAACTAAAAGGTTAACCGGGAATGGGTCCGTAAAAGAACTTACTGTGAAACTAACAAACAACGTTGCAATGTGATATAATTAACCATTGCATTCTAAAACTAACTAAATTTACAAATTAATACATTAGTGACACTACAAAGTAGAGTGGCTGTACAAATTAAAAGAATACTACAAAAACAGTGATTGTAGCAAAAAAAGGCATATATTCCCCACCTGCAACAATGGTGAAGTTTCCAAATAGACTAGGTAAGGTAAGAATAATCCCAACCCAATGGCTGTATTTCTTGTAACGAGCTGTGATGTGAAATGAGAGGCAGGGGTTAAAGCTCCCTTTATATACTCAAGAAAAAGACTCTGATCTGGAAGATTGTCCAACTCCCTTGGTCAACTCCCAGGAAAGCCCATACCAGTGTAGCTCCATGCTAAATATAACACATCACATTCCATATGGTTCTAGAAATGACATTGTTGCTTCTATTTCACTCACAGTATCCATTTTGGGAACTGAACTCCGGTCTTCCGTGTGACAAGCACGCGTTTTATTTAACCACAAGGTTACTCACTGCCCTGCTGTGAAAGAGACATCCTCGATGTGTTTCAACAATATTCATTACACACGCTGCGGTTCCATGCCATGATACATATCACGCACATGGTGACTATCTGGCGTCATGCTGACTCATGTAAATATAGCTGATATCAAGACGATTATAATAGCCTACGTAAACAAATATTACTTTTTACAACTGAATCGCGTTGTTATTTTCATGGAAACTTTCCACTTCAAGTGAAACTTTATAAAGTTTAAATTATACCCATGTCACAATTATTTTCAGACTTAATGTGATCACCTCAGTGGGGTCACTGGTTGTACCTGTGCATGTCCTTGATTGCCCGACCAGAGACACGATCAACAAGTGAATTAATTCTGATTATGACTTACAAATGTCTCAGGTTTAGATCAGTACAGACCAAATATGTAAAATAGTGGCTATCAACAATTATTTCCGTGAACAAAGTTAGCGGCGACTAAACTTAGTGAGTTCACGGCATGAGTTGGAGCGAGTCGATTGTCATACAGTAGGGGCAATCAATAATTCGCTTGAGAAAAATCAAATAATTCTACTTGCTCAAAGTGTAAGCTGTAGTTTTGTATCTATGTATGCTACTTGTAACAAATACAAGCATACTGGTTCCTGAAATAAAGCATTTATGTTGTTGAAAATGTCTTATTTTGTTCATTACACAACCAGTCACTCAATTGGAAAATTCCAAGAGATTTCCAGGAAAAAGGTCCCTTCACGTCTTGTGTTCAAACTACAAAACTAAATTGTATTGGGGTCATTATCGCTTCAATTTTCTCAAAAACCCGGTGGGCATTATACTTCAAAGGTTAAGCCACTTCCTCTCAAATGATAATCCATTTTCTTCAAATTGGGGCAACTTCTATAACCCGCCTGCAAACATCTACATCTACATGTTTGCGAACACTAGAAATCTACTCAGTTGCATGCATTTTCTGCAAATGATACAAATTGACAAATAACACGACATGCAAATGTCCACCACTCGAACCCACGTCATCACATTCTGACATGCACTGGATAACGTTTCCGCAGTTATACAAGAGTTACCTCCCTTAGACTGCGGACCCCCATTGGGAGTATGAAGAAACGGAGGGGATGCATCATGGACGACAGAGTACAGAAACTGCCGCCGTGGATACCAGAGAGGGACACTTCTAGGTGTGTGCATCAAATATGTGTGTGTTGATAATGGTTCTAGGTTCAAGGAGGTCTTTCACTCGAAATCCAAGTCAAAATTTGGATTTCGAGAAAAACTGGTGTATCTGTTACTCAAGTCATGCCCGATAATGGTGCCATTGTTGTGTATGATGCTGAGGGGTGTAATTTTAAAAAGAAACAATATGTGTCAGAACTATTTTAAAGTTTACATACGCTGTAAAATATTCCGGCCCAATATTCCAATTCAATAGTTATAATTTCGATGCCGAAATTAGTATTGAGTTGCTAGTTCCACATCTCGATGTGACAAAACGGTTTGAACACACTGAATGTTGTTGTTCCCCATTATTGTGATTAGATCATCAGTGAGGTCGCTCCAATCCACTGGGGCTTGTCGTGCCGAAAATAGCATCAAGGTAAAGATTATCGCTTTCAGAGTCATGGCGATGTAAATATATAGTGCCAAGACCCAAGTAATGGCAAGATATAGATCTAGATCTACCTTGATGCTATTTATGGTATCATGGTTTACAGGAAGTATAGACAAGGCTGAATACAGGGCAGTTTCCTGCCGGTATTTGTCTCAGTCAGACCATATTTAGTAAATCCTCTCTATATTTATGAAGGTTCTGGGTTCATTTGATTAAACAGCGAGAATCCCACTAGAGGAAGAGTATAGACAGCACTAGATACTGACACTTGCATCCAGTAGCACTGCACCGTATCACCGGTATATGTCAATACGCTTTTCAACCGATATATATTGCAAAAATATTTTTTTCTCAGAGCCGGTATTGGGTAAATAACTTATGAAGTTTTTGTGATTATCTTTGTGGTTTAAATTATAATATACTATACTACTTAAATTATAATAGACTTTCAGTTTCATTCACAACAAATGTTTTTCTTCGTTATTCAATGACAAAATGTCATACTGTAATACTATAAATGGTATAAGAAAGAAAATTGAATCCCTATGCAACCTAATTTTGAGATTTGCTGTTATCAGAACCATAACATATATGTTTAGGGACTTATAATGTAGAAAATAGGATTGACATGCACAATTAATGTCACTCACTGTCAAACACTTAAGCCAGCAATGTATAGCAATAATTATCGCAATACAGGTACCTGAATCGCAGTATATTGCAATACAATTTCTTTGCCAATATACAGCCGTAGCATCCAGTAAATGACTCCTTCAGAAGGCATTTAGAAGGCGATGTCATGGAGATATTTCTGTGGATATGATGCAATATTTGCAATATAGAACAAGTTTTATGGATAACAACTTTATTTTAAATTGATGATTGTGTTGATTTTACCGTTGTACTTGATATAGTGTAGGAGCTGTATGTATATGCTTGAAACAACTGACAATTGCAGCATAGTTCCAAATGGTTGTAAGTTGAAGAAGCCAGTGAGTACACAAAGGATAGTTGGAAGCCAGAGATGTAGTTACAATGAGATGAAGTTTATCTGGGCTTTGGAGATTTGGACTTGTTTAGTATACCCATGCTTGACTGAGCAGCTTAGTTCCAAAATGTTGTGATCAGAAGGAAGTTCCCCATGAAGATCTGGGTTAGATTTGGTCATGCTTGCTCGCTGATGGTTGAACATGTCATCGTATCCCAACTGCGTATATCGATGCTCATGATTGTCTTGTTCAGACTCAAATATTTACAGACCACAGCCATATAGCTGGAATATTGCTGAGTGTGGCGTTGAAACAACGAACAACAAAAACAAGGAGGTTTTATATCCATAGAATTATCTCCCCTGTTGATCCTCCCGACATCACAATGCCATTAGCAGATGGAACATGATGTAGTTGCAGGGATGTTCAAATACATGTACCAAAATTTCCCACTAGCCGAAGGGCAAGTAAACTGTAAACTTCATCTTGTCCTGTCTGATTTCCCGCTCGCCCTGTTAATCAGAGAGTAGAAAGGTGTACGCACACAAGCTAAGTTCGAACCTAACCAAGAATATTGATACTTTCATTTCCATTTGTTTCAAATGTTTTAGACCAGATATTTCAATTGAACCAGAAATATAAGTATATGATGTGTTATCTTCAGACTTTCCCCCTTGCCCAACAATGTATTTTCAAGGGTTAGGAAAGTCATGCATACAAATTGTACGTGCCAGTACATCGACGGGGTAGCCAAGTGGTTAAAGCATTCGCTCTACACACCTAACATCCAGGTTTGATTGCCCGCACAGGTACAGTGTGTGAAATCCATTTCCGGTGTCCACCCGCTGTGATGTTGCTGGAATATTGCTAAAAGCGGCATTAAAACTCCACTCCTTCTCTCTCTTTCTCTCTAGTTATTTACCATGTTTAACCAGATTTGTTTTATTTATTGCAGGTACCCCTCATCATGGTGTAAAGTCTAAAAATGTCCATTCTGTGGGATTAAGTACCAGCAGTTATCCAACAACCAATCATGGTTGAGATCAGCTTGATAACGGCCAGCGCCTATTACGCCTTGACCGCGCTGTGGTGGCTCATCCAAGTGACAAAACATTACCACTTCATGAAACAGCGACACTGTGATTACTTCAGCTCGGTTACCTACCCTTGCTGTGCCTGGGACAAGAAACACCCAGTAGAGGGCGTTTTCAAAGTGATTTCTAGTCTTGCTATTGCAATCAGTTTATTTTCCTTCAGTGGTGCTACCAAAGTACAGTTTTTGACTAACAGAGAAATTGCAACAATGTTCATGTTCTTCATGATATCGGGTGTGATGGACATAATGGCGCGATGGAGTGGGAAGACATTCTACCAGCAACTGGATTATGTGGCTCTCATGTTATTTTTCGCCATCCAGTCAGTCGTTTTCGTGTCACGGTCACAGTTCTCGGAGGAGCCATTGACGATGTTGTACTCACTCATGTTGTACACCTCAGTCGCCACTCTTGCCGCAACTGCCATGGAGATGAGGTACAGGGATCAGGTGCTGTGTTCGGTCATGCGGAGTTATCTCCTCCTGACTCAAGGGACATGGGGTTTACAGGTGGCGTTTCTGGTGGAGGACAAATCTCTCATGGTCAACACTGACACGGATGATATCTTATTGACGGCCATGTATTTCACGTGGCATTGTGGAATCAATTTTTTCCTTGTGTTATCAATTTGGTTAATTATGTTCAAGATGTTGCAGAAACAGCTTTGTTGCTGCGTTGCCATGGACACAGCTGCCGGACAAGACACCATCTACCTGGAAAACAGGGTGCATTTTGATTATCATGTTTTAGATAGATTCGAATCTGATGTTGAGTAAAATATCACACAGAATGACGGGGTAAAGCAGATGATGGTTGATACGCCAGATATCACACCTTCAAGATGGTGCTAACTTGGAAATAGTGTAATAATCGTTGTACATCTGTACATTGACAGCACTGTGAAAATTTCACAGACATATCTTTTTCTAAGTTCCAATTTTTAGAATCGTCCATTAATATCAGTTCTACGACTGTATGTTTTGACACTGGACTTGGAGTAATGTAATCATTACAGATGTGTTGCCCGGAGAGGACATGATATAGTTCATTTATAATCAAGACTTTCTTTTTTGTCCCCTAGTTAATAAGCAATGCAGGCCAAACATGGATTTATGTGGACACTTGAGATACTTTTAAAACCTACTTATATATATATTTATATGAGTTTTTTCTTGCCAGTGCAGTTGTCATAATGACAGCTGTTCCACCATCACTCATTCTTCCAGATCGTTGTAAGTTATAAAGACATCAGTAGTGTAGGGAATCGGAAATCAAATCCACTATCGATTATCGGAGTACTTGTGGTGAACGATTATCGAATATAATCAAAATATATACATTTTTAATGTAATCACCAATTTTAAAGGTTTTTCCCCAGTTTTTTTCTAATTAATGTTTTTTTATAACTAATACTGTCATGCAATGAAATGCACGCATGCAAGAAAGACACTGGAATTGTAATTCAACAATAAAAGTGGTTAAACTTTTACAATGCGCATAGCTTTACGCTGTTGAGCGCATGTTTGTTCGTGAATATTCATCAAATTATATGGTTAGTATACTTTAATCAAGGGTGTTATACAAAATATTTTTTTACAATCGATAATCATTTTTAATCCTTCTTTCGATCGATTTTTTATTTTCTTCGATCATTGGAACACCACTAGAGATCAGTAAGGGAGATCAGAGATCTGAGACCTGTCAATATTTACGTAGTTCAGTAAGTTGTGTGTCTACCAAGTTCATGGAAATTGTTGATTTGCTCAGTTGTTAACTTCAGTAAGGGAAGGGCTCAAGCTTTGAAAATAGAGGAGGGGACTGCTGGGAAATCCCAGTATTGATATAAATAGAATGATGGTGAAAGGCCAATCAAAAGTCTTCATATAAAAAAACTTGATCCCAAAGCATTATCACTGAATATCTTAGTTAATGGTTTTACATATCTTTATCAAATGTATACAATGTAAAGACAATGAGGAACTTCCAGTATTGTCTGGGGACAATATGTGCTTTCAATTGTAGTGCCAGAAAGTAATTATTCTGAGAGTGCGTAGCTAAGCTGATTGGTGGTCAGAGGTGCTTCCACTTCACACTGGATCTCACATGCTTAGATATTGCAGTCACTGAAGGTCCGGGTTTGATTCCCCACATGGGTACAATGTGTGAAGCCCATTTCTGGTGTCCCCACCATGATATTGCTGGAATGATGCATAAAGCGGCATAAAACCCAACTCACTCGCTCACTGGACACAGTGCTGCCAAGTAGAGTGAGTTATGATGCTTCCAACAAAACACTATTATTACCAAGTGGATTTTTAAATTTTTAAAAATATGTTACACAGTGGAATAGAAAATAATAATGGCCTTACAAGGGGTACGTGTCATGAGCCTAATCCGCCATGGCCTCTGTGTAAGAATTGTCACGATGCTAATGTTCTGAGGTTAGTTTCTCTCTGTGAGGTCACATATCTGAACAATAACAGATACATGCATTTGTTTCTTTATATGGCAACTTCTCTCAGGTTTTGCCAAGCATTTATTGAAAGAGATATTGTCAGATGGACCCCACTTCATGAGTTTTTTTAGCAGTCAAGGCATGTTAGGTGTTCAAAAATGGAATTCTTGCAGCAGAAATTAACTTACTTTGAAGATATTCACACATGTTTTCCTCTTTCAATCTTTTTTTTAATTCTATTGTTGCAATAATACATGTCCTTGCTGCTGAGAGGTTGGGTATGTGATCTGGCAATCGTACCAAATGCCTCCATTGTCTATGAAGGTGCAACCATTGCGGTATTGGCTGCCACACAGTTTTATACCCTAGCTACACTCCTGTCTTGTCTGAAACTGTTTGTGTCAAGTATTTATCTGGTGATCCTGCTATGTTAGAGATTGCAACTTGTCCTGGCCACCTGAAAACATAAAAAGATTGTTCTTTATAATAATATTACATTACCATTGTGATCGGTATATATACCATTAACTTAAAATGAGGTAGATGGAATCTTGTGGTTTGAATAGGATAACATGAAATGTTAACAATCAGTCACCCTTCTTGCTTTCTCTGTATATTCCACTCCACTATTGGTATTTTTGTTACATCTCCAGGATACACAAAACCAATCCTCTTATGTCAGGTGCATATCATAAAATGTCATGTGGTTATCTAAGCTGTGTATCACAAAAACATGTTTTGTATGGAGAGGGGTGTTTTATGGTAAAAGTATTACAGATTTCAAATATGTCCTTCATTAGGATTTGTCAAGGTCATCATCTTATTTATTGAACTTTTTTATGGCTTTTACGATTATTGAATCTTTAGACAATGTTACAAAAATGGTGTCTCTTTTAATTGTATTTCATTCCATCCTGTGTTTCTAGTCTTTTATTGAGTGTGTTTCATGGTGGGGAAACAGTCACACAAACTGTTCTGCCTGTACCATTCCTGTTCATTAGCAGATACACAGTTATTGGTGATTGGTGATTGGTAGTGCAGTAGGCTAGTGGTTAAAGCATTCGCTGGTCACACCGTTTCGCCACATCGGAAAATGTCATCTAGACCAGTCTATACAGGATCCGGCTGTATAGTGTCGCAATATATGTGCTTTCTTAATGCTCAGAGCTGAACAATCTTCAAGTTTTTTAGCTCCACCCCCTTTCTTTTTTGACTTTTATATCAGAACATATCTTTCTAATTATAGTGCTGTCCATTTTAATTCATCAGTAGCTTTCAGATTGTGTCAAATAATATGAATGTTAAGTCCATATGTCCAAGCATTTACATATATCATCCCTGTGTCAAATGAAAATGAATTTACAAACTGTAGATTGTTTTATCAAATTATGTACTGTTGACAAATTTAGTGATGCCAAAATATACCATGTACTTCCATAGTATGTATTTACATTTAAAATTGTTGAATTGAGTTTGTAGAAATGCTAAATGATTGTTTCTCTTGGGTGTATTCCAATGAATAATTTGCAGCATTATCCTAGGTAAGCCCATCTTCCAAGATATTGATAATATTGATCCTGCCCAACATTGTATTTTCGGAGGATGGTATTTCACCAAAATGCTGGGCAGGATGACTTGCTGGATATGCTGAGTGTTATGAAGAATAATGTGATGTGGGGCAAGGTTTTTAGTTCTACCTGACAAAGTATTTATATTTTGAGCTTCACGTCTCAAAAGAACATGGAAACAGTTGTCTCAAAATCTTTTTCTCTGTTTTTATGTTATGTATGGTCTGCTGTGGTGAAATAATGATATGATATTCACCTGCGGGCTCCATTACTCCACTTGAAATGCTGTATACCCTGGACCATATACTGTCCTGGACTATAAACTGTCGTAACTCCTGAACGTATGCATGCCCTGCCATCAGTCGGGCCTGGGTACCATTATGGAGTGTTGGGCGTCATCTCCAATCAGCGCTGTATTGATCAGTATTGTTTTCTGGCATAATGATTGCCCCCTCAAGAGGATTACATGAACAATGTGGTTGCCTTTGATGTTTTGACCTTCTGAGAGGCCTGGCATTATGTCATCATAGCATGTTTTCTGGTCTTGCACAATGTGGGTTTAGACAGGGGTTGATGTACCTTGCAAAGATTCATTGTTATTTGTGAAAGTATTTGCTATCAGCAGCTGTTTCAAGAGCTTTCAGAACTGTTACATTTCACCTGATTAAACATGTCATTAAGACTCTTGTTCTCCAGGCTTAGTGGCAATACCGGAGACCCTTTTGATGTATGTGTGTACGTAAAACAAATTTGGCTGTAACTAATTGAAAAGAACATGCCTGTATGGGTTGTTTGTCACAGGAAAAAATATGCCACTTTGAAAATAGCAAATAATTGTTACTTTCTTCTGTATCTGTGTTACCATGGTTACAGAATGTGATACAGTCTGATGTTTATATGATCAGTGCTCTAGTCAGGGCTTACAAGGTATACTAGATATACTAGATATTATGCTGTTTTGTATATTTTCCATTGTGCAATTTTGTGTTGCCTCAATGATCATTAGATGATTCTGTATAAACTACTGACACAAAGTTAAGGAACGCCTGATTTCTCAATATGACTTTCGGTAATCTATTGTGGCTGTTAAGTAGCCATGACTCACTAATGTTTTATGAAGAAATCAGGGTTTTTTTAAGTTGTTTTGAGTAGTATACATGTGTTCATGTTTCCCAGAGTGATTGTAGAGATGCCAACCTCTGATTTTATCAGTCCCTACAAATCTTAGCCTCAAACTATGCCAATACAATTGCACTAGAAATTCTACAAAAAATTTGAAGAAAATTCATTAAAATTTGTATATATAAATAGACAAAAACATTCATTTTCGCCAAAAGAGACAAGAAGAAATGTAATGCTGATGATTTGGAAATCTGAAGTGTGAAATTAAAGCTCTTGATTAGTGTCATATTATCTTTCTCAGAATCCATCATGGTTTTAAATATTTAGTTGACAACTAATTTTATGGTCAAACTACTAATTTTGATCCTTGAAACTACTATTTGCAACACTTTGGGTGGCATCTCTGCGATTGTAGATGTACGATAGTAAGTCTGTGTGAAACTGTTGACGCTATGACTAAAGGTGCTACGATGGTGTTGTGAAACCCGGGCGAGGGGACCTGTCTCCATCAGGGTGTGGTATGCTGTGGGTGGAGTTGAACTGTATATGTGATACAACCACGATATTTCAGGTGCATTACAATAACTAGAGCTGATGTTATGTCTGCTATTCATACATGCTGGTCGCCAGGTTCTCATCCAGGAATGTTTAGTGGCCATCTTTGTTTCACCAGTCAGGGTCAGACTTTGAGGTTTTGTGGCTCAGTTTCTGTAACTCTTTGTAAAGCATTTCAGAACTGTTTTAAAACATATTGTCATGTTAGTGCCCTTTATGTCATCACAGGGTGCAGTAGGGTAGCCAAGTGGTTAAAGTGTTCGCTTGTCACACCAAATACCCGGGTTCGATTCCCCACATGGGCACAATGTGTGAAGCAATTTCTGATGTTCCCCGCTGTGATATTGCTCGAATATTGCTTAAAGCGGTGTTAAACTAAACTCACTCACTAACTTGGTCTTCGCAGAAATTTGAACTCAGCTTCCAAGAGACATAGATAGTTATGAATAGCCAAGGTTGTTGTATCTATTTCATTCTGTAAAACAACAGCTATAGCTGGGATCAGTGAAGTACTAACAGATCAGAGACAACACATGGTACACAGGACACGCAACATCAGGTGGGCATTCACTCACATTGCCCAAGTTCATGAAAAATCAGGTGTTGAAATTGAAACTCCACATTTTAAGAAAGCACCCACCCA